TAGCTTCTGCTCGCTCTGCTGGTTAAGGAACCAGTGTTGTTAAGGAAAGTGTATAGACTTTATTATCATAAAAACAAGAAGTTTTTTGAGAACGTCTGTTTTTTGGGTTGGCAAAAGGATCAGCGGAAAGAGTCTCCTCACACAGGTCATATTTTAATATTTTTTTTAATTTTAAATTTTAAATATATATAATAAAACATATTATTTTAATTGCCAAAAAAAATTTTTTTAAAAAAAATTATATTATGCTATATAGTTAATCTTGCTTTTGTTAATTTATAAATATCTTTAAATAAAATTAAAAACAATTAAGTTATAATTTTTAATAAAGTATTTAAAATATAATACAAATAAATAAAGAGTATTTAGTTATTGTAATAGTAAAAAATGACAAGTTTGTTATTTGAATACAAGTTTTGTTATAGTATATTATACAATAGTTAAATAGATTCACTTTGTATTATTTAATTATATGGTTTGTATTATTATTAACACTTTTTTTTTTGTCTTGTAAACAAAAGAGATAATTGGATTGAATCAATTTTTATTTGTCAATTATGTAATTACAGGTAAAATGAAAATAGAATACACAGGATTTTATTATACAGATAGAGATTTAATCATTAAATAAGTACACTTGTTGCCTTTATTAAACAAAAGCTAAATATATTTATGTGTGTTTTTTATTATTCTAATTATTTTAATTATACATGTGATGAAATTGAATTCAGAGATTTTTCAAAAACTGTATTATATTAGAATTACTAAGTAACATATAGTAAATAACTAGGAATTGTATTTAATTTGAAATTGTATTGTCAATAGATTTTCTTTTATTAAAAATAGATTCAAATATTATTTTTGATGAATCAATTTTTTATAATAATCCATTTATCAGAATATAATAAAAATTTTGGAATTTATTGAAATACCTTAATTCCTATTTCAAATATATTATTAACAAGAGTGATGATTGTGGGATTATGTTATAATTGAGACACAATAGATGTGACAAGCAAGTTGGATAGATATTATAAGAAGAAACAACTCGTTACAAATAATTTGATAAACGTGTTGGGCTTGATTTTGAATTTCCGAAATACTTTATCATTTCATTCTCTAATATACGGTATTTGATTACAGGTTGTATACTTGATTTTTCTTGCTTTAAAGAATTCAAAAAAAAAATAAAATACAAAAATGCAATGTCAAATAAAATAATAATAATAAACACTAAATCTAAAATAAAAGATTCGAAAGATATAAAAATACATTTTTATACCATCAGTTATAAAATTTAAAAATAATATGTATTTATAAAAAAAAATGCAGAATAAAAAACTAGACGAAGCAGAAAACAGTTTTTTTGCAGGTCATTATCATTACTTGCGAATTTGTGCACGCCGCATTCAACCAACCAGGGATGAGACCCAACGTTAATACTGTGTAACAAACGGTCGGTGAACATTACTAATACAGATTATTAATACAACATCGTTTTTATCATACTGTATTGAAAAAACAAACAAGCAAGTTCAGTTGCAAACTACAGTATACGCTAGTCGTTCCACTGTTCATTCATTCATTTTTATTTTTTTTTTGTTTATTTGTATTTTTTGATAATGAATAAATTCAATATGTTTCGCTGACACAAAATGTATGACCAATAAATTACGCTGATAATGATATCATTATTTTAAAACCAACAACAATGACACTTTAAATTACTAGATTATTATTTGAAACCAAACCAGCAACAATGAAACTCTCTTAATTTACCTATTATCACATTACTTTAAATATCGACAATGACAGTTCTTTATTCTATTAATATCACAATCAATTAAAGTATGGCATTTCTTTGTTTTGGGAAAAAAGTAAAAATAAATAAGCTCGATGCATTGTTTCAAGTTTCCGGTGAGAATTGCTTATTTTATTAATCCTAAAAATAAAAGGACTTGATTGTTTGAATCCAAATGAAGGTACATCGATCGATCGATTGAAACCTGTGGTAATAATTGACATTGCCATTTTACGATAATAATAACAAGGGGCTGAATAACGCAATGCAATTTTAAAAACAAGCTTATTTTGAAAGAATCCATGTATGAAAACAAAAAAAGTAAATCGACCTTTGTGCTTTATGTACGGTATACATTTTATAAAAACGGTATATGTAATATATTATTTTTAATGTGGGAAATTGTTTGTCATACGGATTGATGATTCGAATCAAGTCGTTGTTGTCGACAAATGTGAGACTAGACTTTATGATCCTCAAAAGAAAAATAAACAACTTTTTTAGGTTATTTTGACATTGTATTTATGATACAGTATACACAGTATTGACGTATTGTTGGGAAATTATAATACAGTACTGTAGTATGAACTTGCTGTATCACATGGTTACACAGACTTTTTGAATGCTTTTTTAAAATGTTCGTACGTACATTCGATTTTATTTAATAGAAGAATTTCAATAAAGTAAATAATTGATTCGTCATATAAGAAAATTCATAAGTCAACAGATAACGAAAATAAGAAAAGAAAAGAAAAGAAATAAAATTCATAACAGATAACGAAAATAAGAAAAAGAAAAGAAAAGAAAAGAAATTCATAACAGATAACGAAAATAAGAAAAAGAAAAGAAAAGAAAAAAAAATTCATAACAGATATCGGAAATAGGAAAAGATAACGAAAATAAGAAAAAGAAAAGAAAAGAAAAGAAAAAAATTCATAACAGATATCGAAAATAAGAAAAAGAAAAGGAATAAAATATAACAATATCACTTCGTCAATTGTTATTTCACATAAAGTTACGTTACGAAATAAAAAGGTCTCTTCATTATTTGAACGAGAAATCAATAAAGAAATGTATTGGCTTGCGATAAACAAATGAAATCGATATTTTTTTAGCGAATAATATATTTCAGTACGGAAATTCGAATATAATTACGACTTTTCGATATTATGTCGTTTATCAGGCAATTACTGTATATATTGTATACGAAATATTAAAAACTCGTGCGAGACTGAAATGGCGTCTTGCGGAATTAAAAAGAGATATTCCGCAAAAACAAAGAGATAATAATGAACCATTACGGTATTATTGGAAAAACGCCACATGAAATTCTATGTACAGATATAACAAGACTCACTGAACGAGACATACAGTGTGTAAAGTTATTGATAACGATGAGAATTTTAAAACAACACGAATGCGAATTAGCGGAATATACTGTATACACTGTATACATTATGCATCATATGATCGAAAATTAAAATATTTGTTGATCTCATCATTTTCAATATCATTCAAAACGTCGAATGTGATACCAAAAAATTCAGTACCCATAGGGATACTTGGGATGCTGGGCGTACTTGACTGGTCGGATGGAAAAATCAAATATTTGTTGATATCATCATTTTCAATATCATTTAAAACGTCGAACGTAATACCAATAAATTCAGCATCCATTGGGATACTTGGAAAAATAGGACTTGGCTGGTTGGGTGGAATAATGTGTTCATTTGAAGGACAGGGGAAGTGTGGTGATGCTACGGAAGGAGGATGGTACGAAGGATCCTCGTTAGAATGAACAAATCCATTCATAGGAGATGGAGGAGTGACCGGGAAAGGTTCCTGCGGATGATTCGACCCAATAATCTGATCGTATAATTGTTCAGCTTCGCTTGAGATTTTTCTATATGCTTCCTTTATATGGTAGGGCTCCATCTTCCATGAACGTCCAACCATAGAGCTCAGATGTGTCATAGGGATACTGTAGCCATTGTCCTTTAGATATCTAACATACATATTTCTGTATATGATAAAAGAATTTGGAAATCTTGCCAGCTTGGGTTTCGTAATTAATTTTTCAACCAAATTTATTGCTTCTTGAACTGTAGGAGGAGACTGCGGCAAACGTAGTGGTGGGTACTCCTCCACCCTATTTATAGTGAAAGTTGGTTGATCTCGCAGACGTCTGGGCTTTTTTTCGCGATTTTTCTTAGTGCTACTCATTTTGTATATGGAGTTGTGTTTTATAGAGAGAAATTTCAAACCTAAAAAATTAACACACGAAAAACAGAAAAGAAATTAGTACAACACCCCACCACTTGGTTGAGTGAATTTTGAATATTGGGTATTTATATTGTTTTTCTTTCTGAATTTGTTTTGTTGTGTATAGTATATTTGAATTGCATGACCACGTCATTGTTCTTTCTTCTCGTATTTGTATTTGTATTTGTTATTTACAAACGAAGAAAGCATAGAATTGTTTAACCTAAACGAGATGTATACGTATATCCTTTGTATAATAGGTGGTCACGTCACATACGTATCTACGCATTTGTGATACAATTAGGACATACTCTGAAGAAAGTCACCTGAATCAATGACTTTTTTGTGCCCAAGTGGGTGGGCTCTGTACATCAATCATCTTTCAGTAAATAACCTCTTGATAATTATGTATTATAAAGATGTGAAAAATTAATATACAATCTCGTCACACTTGAACAATTGTTTATCTTATAATTTCTTCAATTCCTTATTAGGCTTGTGTCTAAATCTGAAAGTGTTAATTTTTTGAGTTTTTTTTTATTTTTTTTTACACAACGATGGTTCTGTACAACGCATTGCGTCGTTTTGGGTACACGCGTCATAGTTTTTAATAATTCAATAGATTGACAATTTTGGATAAAATAAAAGAATTTTAAAACTAAAGGGGTGGTTTGTTTTGACACGAGATCCTCTATACTTAGAAAATCTATAGAACTTAAATTTTAACAAAAACAAAGGGAAATTTCATTTAAAACGAATCACTGCCAAGAATTGAGGCATAGGCGAGCATATCACTGCGGTTATCGTCGGAGTTCACAATCATGTTTGTACAACATATATGATGTTACCTAGTATTTTGGTCGTTACATTTATTTCATAAGCAATGGGATTAACTGATTCGTATTTCGTACAAAATACATAGATATTATTTACTGTATTTTGGAAAAAAAGAATCCTTGAAGGAAGGGCAGCTTGCCGATCAAAGTATCCGGTGCGAATGTTCAATTGGTTTAAATATGTAGTTTCGATGAATTACCAAAATCAAATGATACATACGTCAATACATTTTACAGCAAAATTAATTTATGACCGCAACAGGCCAGTCGATCATAACTTGCGTGACGATCATAAGATTACACCGATTTCCATTCGAGGCCCTTGCATACTGTATATCCTTTTCTTAATACAGTAGAAACTATTATTAGCGATTCCCACGATTATTAATAATTTACAATACCGTAAACAACATCGAGCCAGTTGGTTGCACATGACGCGCGACATTCGTTAAAATCCATTGTCACAATAATGGATTGTTATTTTTTGTTCAAGCATAATCTAACTCTTTAATCAATAAAATTTTTATTATGAAAAATAAAGATTTTTTATAACGGATATGCCTTAATTGCATTATTAAATCTATTGTGGGGGTTTTTTTTTTTTAAAAAAAAAAAAAAAAAAAAAATCATAAAAATGTTTTGTGTGGATATCGTTGCAAATAATAATTTTAAAACATTGGTGAAATGCTCCACATTCCTACTAAAGGAATTATTTACGATTCTCTAGTATGATTAATTTGTGTTTTTCGCGGAGGTGTTTTTTAAATTCCTCCAACTCAAAACACTTTTTGCAAACGTCACACCAACGTGTAGGAGGGTGCTTGCTATTTATGTGTTTTTCGAGTTCTTCGTTATTCACGAGAGTTTCCGTGCACAATGAACATTTGATTGTATGTTTGGCAGCATTATGTTGACGAATCGCATGTTCGTCAATTTTTCGGTATTTTTTTTCGCAGTATGCACATTGGTAAATTTTTGGAGGCTTTTGAGTTTGGGGCTTGACAGAGAGTTGCATTTCTTCCTCCTGCAAACGAAGATTCGTCTATCAGGCAAAGCTTCTTTTAACCAACCTTTGACTTTATATTACCTGAAAAATACCTGACTTGCTTACACTATTATGTGTCGTCGACTTTTGCCAGAAATTTGGATTTTTCAAAAGCGGTCTCGGTATGATATTTTTTTATCTGTTAGAAAGCACCGGTACACCAATATATACATAAGTAATTACGTAAGTTGACATAATTTGGACGATGTTATTACCGAAAGATGATTATTGATTGTCTTTGAATTTGCGTACAATTACGCAACCCTGACATATAGGCATCGGATTTTGATAAATTGCGTTTCGACTTTAATTGTGTCAATAAAATATCGAATGATTTGGTTTGCAAAAAATAATTGGCGATAAAAGTGTCTGTGATCTAAACACTTGGAGTTAAAAAGAGCTTTTTTTTTTCTTGTCACACAATCGATTAGAGCAAATCAGTTGTGATATAAGTATTTTAAAAATATCCTGATGATCAGCTTACTTGATACAGTATATAGCATTCTACGATATCTATTAATTTTAATAATATTATGGCAAATCATTGTTGCACCCCAGATTTTGATCATTGTATTAGATAGTAACCTGACATCGGTTTGCATTGTTGTTACAGAACGCCGGATGGTAACAAAACCTAACTTACCGTTTCTTCAATCATACCGTATATACACTTAATCCGTCTACTGTAGTTTTTATTATTGCAATTATTGAAGGAGGCATCTTATAAGAATAACAAGTCGCAATACATTCTTTATTAAATCTTATCTTAAGCTAAAACTACACATTGATAAAAAGGGCATTACTGTTGAGGTTATCTGTGCGTGATGATACAATTTTGTGTCACTGTCATTGTCCAATCAAGAAAGGATGTGCACAAAATAATACAAAAGTTGATCAGAAAATACTTCTTTCACTATTGATGTAGCAAGAATGTTGAAATTGTGACATTTTTTCTAAACAAATGTGTCGAACCTTACCGAATAAAAAATTTAAAAAGTTATAGACAACGTGAACATTCGTGAAAAACAAGTGTGAATAGTATAAATTAAGTTACGAAAACAATAGTGATAATGTTGCAGTCACAATATGTCCCATGAACAATTCAAAAATTCGTTGTTTGAATAGAACATTGAATAAAAGCTATCCAAAGTAATGTTAGAAACAAAATCAGTGTCCGTGAAGAAAATTGGGGAGATGGGTGTATTATAAGAAGAGTGAATTGGCTGGTTTGGTAGGACATTAGTGGACTCCACTTGAGAATAATAGTCATGTAAGGGATGGGAGGACCAATATGGAGTTTGTGCTGAAGGAAGATACGCAAGCCAATTATCAAATTCCTCTGTAAGAGACAGATGTAATTCATCGAGAGACGGTTGGTCTTGTGGAGAATAGTCCATTTTAATTATTTGGTCATATAGTTTTTCTGCCTCGTTTGAAATTTTAGTGTAAATATCTTTGGTATGCAAAGGTTCCATCTTCCATGAATTTGATAACATTTGAGATAACTTTATCATAGGAATACTGTGCCCATTGTCCTTTAGATATTTTACATAAGCATTCCTGTATATAATAAAAGAATTTGGAAATTTTGTGACCTTGGGTTTCGATATTAACTTTTTCACCAAATTTATTACATGTTCTTTTGTTGAATGAGGATGGGGTAAAGATATTGGTGGGAACAGCGGTTTCTTCTCCCTAACAGCAAATACTATCATATCGCCTGAACCTTGAGGCTTGTTTATTCGACTTCTGTTGCGCCTGCTTGATTTTTTTCCGGTAGTCATCTTTGATTTTGCAAAGAACAGTTGCACTTGAAAAATGTAAAATATCAATGAAGAACAAAAAGAAAATATAGAGGGTTTTTATTATATCCTGTGGTTTATTCAGTTACACAATCAATGCATTATTTTATTGATGCCAGGTTTCAGTGTCCCCTTGGGATACAAAAGTGAGATGTGGAATTCGATTCATTTGCAGAGCACCAGAAACAATGTATATATTCTTGGGATTATTAATCATGTTTACGCTCGCTCTTATTTGGTCTTGTATTACTTGCGCTAGAATGTAAAATAACGATAATGATACTGATGCTGTAATGATAAGGATAAAATAAAATAAATAAATAAATAATATAACATAATATAAAGTAATGTGAAATAAAAATAGAATCAAAATACTGTAAAAATAAAATAATAAAATGCGATCTTGCATATTTAAACGACCAAAAAATGGGAATCTAGTCTGAAACATTATATGAACCGCACATGATTTTTTTTTTCTTTGTACATTATCGACGCGTGTTATAAACACACCAATCACAATCGTATCCACATCTCCTTTTCTTAGCATGCGACCATTCGACTATTTTGGGTCTTGCACAATCTATTTGTACTTTGCACAAAGACGAGAAGTAAATAGATTTCGTTCATGCTCAAACCATCACTTAATTGACCCCTTATGAGATTTTCAAAGGTTATTTGTAAAGTAAAAGGAATTCCGCGAATTCCAACCAGAAATGATAAGTTACGTGTTTATAAAGCTTGATAACAGGATGGTTCTATACGTGGTATATGCGAAATAGCCCTGAAATTTTCAAAAATGGTTATATAATAACCCGATTAAGCTAACGCAGTTCTTGAAATATCACCGATTTATGATCATACAGTAACACGCGCCATGTACATATCTTTTGTGTCAAAAATCCTTGATTATACACTAATTTGGAATACAAGAACTCGGAATTCAAGAGGATACCAATTTTATACAAGAAGAAATTCAATGGGATGTACGGTACATACATTCAAATTAACAATTCGAGGGTTTTCCCAAAGGATAAGATAATACGCTAGAAGACTCCACTTATTAGATAACTTGCTTCTTTGTTTGGAATTACAGTATATCTCAAATCAGGAATATTCCTATCTTTGCATTTTTTGATTTATTTATCTCCTTTTATTCTGATCCCATTCAATTGTTGATTAGTAAGTATTTGTGTGTTGTATTTTGATTCTATTCTATTATCGGTTAGAAGCATTTGCAAGGATGCCTGATTCATTCGTGTAATTTGTTTATAATTAGACAATGCTGAAAAATTCATTAAACTTGATTAGAACCGGAACTATGCGTTTGAGGGAATATTTACAACACAAGAAAATCACAGGGTGAACAGGTAATCGTGCTATTTTTAATCAAACACTTCTGATTTTGATATTTCGAATCATTCCTTGTAATTAGCATTTGATCTATTTTTTTTTTTTCTATTCACAACATATTACCAATGTGAAATACAATCGCTTTATTGTATATGCTATCGGAATTACCTTTAATAAAATTGTCATCCGATCAATTATAGCGAAAGCAGAAAAATATGTCGCGTCCACTTCGTTTGGTCAGATTTCATAATTAAGTGTTACTATTTTTGGAAACAGGTGTAACTTATTCACATCATCGTACGATGATACCTACAGTCACATTGGTTCACAATCGAGTTACTATATTTGATAAAAATATAACGTATCCGGGTGATATATAAAGAGAAATAATAATTCCAAATAATATATGTTGTAAATGAGTAATTTGGTCTATAATATTTGTTTTTTCTTATACAACACACTGTGTATTGAAATAATTCTATCATTGTACATGTACTGTATGCTGTTGATCTTTTTTTTTTGGCTGTCCACACATTGTACAGTTTATGTGGATATTTTTCTTTTGGCAGGAGTTATTCGTCAATCAAATCTCGAACCACGTAAAATAAGATTAAAAAGTAAACAAAACATAATTAAATTTAGTATTTGATTCGATGTTCGCGTCACATCCTCGTACTCTAATTACATCATTTGCTCCTTAATTAATAATTTGGATGACAATAATAACAACATTTATCATTATTCCTCGCTTTTCATTTCTATTTTTTCTTGTCAATGGAACTATTCTTGATTTATTTGACATCATTTTACACGTGACCCGGTGTCGTGTTTCGTGGTTACGGTTCTCAAATAGTGAGACCTATTATTATGAAAAATGCAATTATTCCTATTTATTAAAAGAATAAACAGGGCTTTAAGGGTACTCCTAAAAATGGTTTTATGTTTCTTATTAAAGAAAGGGTTTATTTGGTGATCTTAAATAAATAATGATGATTTTTATTTAATGTATTGATTGATATACTGTATATGCAATGTACACACGGTAGATTTAAACGAAGGAATAATCTATTTTAAAATCGCCCATTGTACAATCTGTTCACAGGTTTGATATGCGTTAAAAGAACCCATTTGTGTTTATCGAGAAGATGCTTATCATCTAGCTCGCTGTACTTATCGCGTGTGTTCTTCCAGTTCATATTTCAAATTCTACTGTGAACGTTGGGAGTAAGGCTTTTGTACCCTGTCCTTAGCGATAAGTCTCGTTTTTTTTTATTCTACGACGACGAAATATAACATGTTTGTCTTAATTACTGCGTTAGATGCACGGTTTTCGAAAATGATGTCGATCAGAGAGTCGATATTTTACGTACTGGAATTACGTAACATTACTGTATAAAAGTGCATAATTGACGGTTAGTATCTTAGCCAACCATACCCGATAGTTTGTTACACGTTCCGGAATTTTTCATTTGTTCGGCGTAGAAATTCCGAAAATAGATTTTCCTAAAAAGGTCAATCCGATAAATCGAGAAATTAAAAAAGAATGTTGTACAGCGATGCAAGCGATTCAGGCGAAAATAATTATTACTCAGTACCCGGCTCTATCATCAGTATATTTATTTTAAATGAAAATTATTGAACAAATATTTTATCGTGCCTCACTTGACACATTGATATCAAAGTATCACCATCACATCACTCTCCTTTTAAGTTTACCTATTTTTACGAATTTACAGTAAATCCGAAAATTTTGTAGCAAAAAAAAAATATTATTATTATTATTATTCAAAATTAATATTATTAAACTCTAATTCATAACCTTAATGATCTTTTAATCAAGATGAGTTATTTATAGTTTTGTTTAACACGCATATGGTTTTTCTTAAATTAACAATTTAAAAATAATTTTTTACATGAAGCATTAATTAATTAATTAATTACTCAAAATAAAAATAAAAAATGCGACGGTTTAAATTTACCTGAAATCTCGGATTAATTAATTAATTTAATTAACTCATCAATAAACCGGAAATGATGTGTCATCTATTATTATGTTTTTTTTAAACAAATTTAATTTAAGTAAATTTACTTTTATTAAAATAATTAAATATATTATTTTCTAATTTTTTTAAAAAAAAAATTCTTTTATCACGAATACGATAAGAATGCGAATTAAATTTTTAATTAAAAATGTTTATTCTATAATCAATTTTATATGGTGTATATAATTTTTGTAATAATTAATTCATTTTTTACAAATAATAATATAATACATAACAAAATCAAAATTGTCAATAATATCAAAGTTAAATAAAATACTGAAGATACAATTTGATTCAACAATCATCAAATTCAAGTTCTTAAATTCTATAAAAGTATCAAATATTTTGAAATGTTAATCTTATTCAAAAACTTTTACAGGTTTAATAAAAATATCTTTATTTAAATATTATTATAAATTATTAAAAAACCCACAAAATACAATTAGAAAAAAAAATCCAGCAACAAATTAGTAACTGAATTATTATAAAAAAAATTGAATACTTTTATTCTTATTATTTATTAACAAAACAACTTTTAATTTATTTTAAATCAAAATTAACAAACTAATAAAATTAATATACAAAATTTTTTTCAAATATTTTGATATAATTTGAACAAATCATAATAATTTTAATTTAATGGAATTAAAAGAAAAACAAAAAACTATATTAACAAATAATTTCATATTTAACTTTTTATTTTATTTATTAAAATATATATATTACAAGATATTTGATCTATTTAAAAAAAAAAAACAATTTGATTTTGTTTTATCTATAATTTAGAAAAATTCAATTAAAACAATCAGATTCTTTATGTAGTAAAATTAGTCAAAGATCTCAAAATTCAAATATTTCTAATAAAATACTTATTTTATTTTAATAATATTAAAAACTTAATTGGTTATTTATTTTTTATAATTTAATTACAACTCAAAAAAACTATAATAAATATAACAAATACTTTTAATATAAAATTTACTTATCAATTATTAAAAATTAAAAATATTATCAAACATATTATATTACTTTTTTGCTTATAACAATATTTAAAATAAATAATTGAAAAACATTATTAACAGTTTAATAAAAAGTTGATCAATATATAAACAAAAAGTTTAATTAAATTTGTAGTTTGTTGAATTAAAAAATTTTTAAATTATTTAGTTATTATTATTAAAATAAATATAAATAATTATAGAAGCAAGTTGTTATTTATAAAGGTAATTATTATATAGAAATAGATTAGAAGTGAAGAAATAGAAGTTAAAAGTTTAAAAAAATTATTAAAATAAATATATAGAATATTAAAACAAGTAGAGCTTTATATTAATTTGAGCTTACCAATAATTTTTTTCTTATATAAGATTGCAAGAAGCAAAAGTACTTAAATATTTTTTCTAATTATCAATTGTATAGTGTTGATTTTTAATTATTATAGATGAAAATGCATTAATTTTAATTTTAATTAGATTAATATTATAGTTGTTCAAATAAATCCAGAATTTTTTTTGAATTAGGAAAAAGTATAATATAATGAAATAAAGGAATCTTATAGCTTTTAATAATAATAATATTATTATTATTTTT